AAAACCTGATATTCAATAGATAAATTAAAAAAAAGTGATTGAGTCCCATCATGTCGTAATTTCTATTTCTGCACTTTTGAACCCAAAAAATAAGAGGTGGAGATGGTATGACTCGCCAAAGAAATCATCTTCCCTGGATCCGCCTATGTTGATTTAAATTTTACCTGTTATTGCTGTCTGCCCACAATATTCTCACCTGTCGTCCTGCTTCATTATTATGTTGAATGAGCAGAGAGAGTTCGTCGTGTTTGGGTGGATCCATATAACGTCTTGATACCTTTTCGCCATACTTCAAGAACTCATAAAAGGTACTACATCCTTTCCAGTCCCAGAAATCATCGCCTCTTTGTTTCCTACCAGATTTACAGCCACACATGTCCCAGTTGCCTCGAGTACATTGTTTAGTAACCTTGAATGCTACCGCGGCGGATGTAATGGCATACACGAAGGCACTTTCACGTATTCCTACAAAGACATACAATTCACAATATTCCATATTCGGGTTCAGTGACTAGGAACAAAGCATTGAGCCGAGGCTTAAGGTACAGTGAGCATAAAAGAAAAGATCTGTGATCAGTGTTCCTTGACGCCTCGGTTCAATGCTTTGTTCGTGGTCACTGTACCTGAGTATGGAAAGTCGTAAATTAATGACATTAGTGCAACACACAAAGAGATTCACAAACTGTGATGGAAGTCACCAGATGGAAGAACTGATTGTAAATAGCAATATGACGAGAAGGTCTGTGATTGCAAGCAAATAGTTTTAAAGCTAAACGTTGTCAAGGGAAACGTCGATTGTTGAAGGGAGATTGCAACACCGAAAGGGGCCATGATTAAGCTGTATCGATAACCAAAATATCTCCTTTGGGATTTACCTTAAATTTATATTTACCACAGACTATTCGATCTTACASTATTAATCACTTGTTATTTCCTTTCAATTAGCAAAACCAATGGTTACTATTAGTTTAGCGTGTAATCGCCGTTCGACACCATTCGCCATTTCATCCCACGACATTTTTTGAAAAAAGGAATATCCTGATGATTAGATGGTGGGAGGAGATCTGAAATTAGGGTTTCAGAGACAGGAATGGAAATCCTTGGCAGTGAAATAAGACGCAGTCTGAATATAGAATGAAAATAAATGATAAAATTCGTTTGAGCTGGATTGGTCATATCTTGCATCTTTGGGATGGATATCAGAAGGTAGAAGAGCAAGAAGACGTCCTAAGACTACTTGGAGAAGAACGGCACAACAAAAAACGGAGCCAAGGACAGAGGTAGCTGCAGGCCTTATGCGCCTACTGGCCCAAGGAGTCTMGATGATGATAATGATCAATGATCAATGGTAAGAAACTACAAGCGACTGTCGACTGTTTTGTTGCTTTCAAAAAATTCGCTATTAAACWTATCACCTCTGAATACCAAGGGTTACGKGAAGCCAATCAGATTGAAGGACTTGTCATATGTTGATGAAAGAGTGTTCTAACCTTTTTTCATTATTCCCTGTTGTTGAAATACTTTGGTTGTGTTTAGTTCAGAGCAATTCCAGCGTCTGTCTTGAAATCGTCTTTGACAGTGCTTTAAAGCCATTGCGACGGCTTCCTCCACGATACCTTTAAGTTTGTAGAAATGGCATAGCTTTAACTCGTCTTTGGTAAACCAATTATGGATTCCTGCTGTGCAGTTTTGCTCTGCGTCTTTGCTCATTCCTGATTCATAGACGTTTGGCAGGCTGCCATTGCTACAGACAAGAAAGAGTCAATCTTGGTAAAATCATTGCAGAGTAGAATATAACCATTTATGTACAATAAAGGCAAAGAAATTGTCTCTTAATAGCAACCTACTTAACTTTTATATAATATACTACTTAACAAAAAACTTTGCACTTAAGGCATTGACATTATATCGCCGTTATTAAAGACAATTTACCCTGAATCTTCTGGTCGTGATTCTGTGAAGACGACAAGGAACAATAACATCACARTTCCGTACAACAGTCGCATTCTGCTAGCGTGTTAGAATATATCTGTGTAAAAGATACGTGTTGCTGAATGACGCTCCTTCGTCGATCTGTCCGCTTCTAGAATCTCAGTAGAGGAAACTGATTATGCTCTCCTGTGATTGGTCAGTGAGTTGCCCCCAAAAAGTATTTTTATAGTTTTACTTCCAAAGGGAAATAAATGACGCCTGATTGGAAACTTTAAACTGGAGAAAACACCAAGATAGATATTTGCTCAATTTTTTTGTTTTTGTTTTGAAAAACATAGAAGCAAGAAAATAGATCGTGAAAGTGACCTAAGCATAGAAGCAACTGATTTCAATCGTCGACAGACCTGGAGAGAGTAGCCTCAAACTTTAGAGAACATTTATTTCAATAAGGTGGACCATCCATGTAGTTTAAACGAAAAKCAAGTACAATTGTAATTTTGTAATTTTTTTTTTGTAATTTTTTTTTGTGCCACAGTCGTGCCGAACTCAGTTGATTCATAGTCGAGTTATCCACGTGACAAATTTAAGTTATTTCCTTCGGCGCGACGCTGGCTCGACCTATGAACCTGGCCTAACATACTCTGTTGGCTTTGACTTATCGGGACTCGTATCAAGTACTTGTAAACGGTCGCATACGATTCGTATATGCTACGCGTGGACGGAATTATTTAASCTTGYGTTATGTGGGATCGCTGTATTCATTGTCTGTAACAATCAATGGGTGTCGGGCACAATCGGCGCGCCTTTGGTCATAGGTTTTCATCCAGCAGTGCGCGAAATATGGCGGACGCATATCCAGCATCAGTCATAGTTTTTGCTGATATTTACTGTCCACTATGGTATYAATCTAACCAGGTTTACTAACCCAGGATTTAGAGTTGGTGGCAGAACTAAAYTACATCGAAGGTTTTCAAAGGAGTTAGAATAAAAACATGCCTATGATACATAACAACGGTTGCTATTTATCAAACTGCTTTTTATTTTGGTATAATTTATTTTTAAGTTTTTTTATTTATTTTTAGTATAATTAATATATTTTTACCACATGAAGTGCTAGGTTTGTCAACCAGAATATGGGCTTACTATTGTTTTTCTTATTTGCCGTGGATTATTTACAACGATGCTCAATCACATTCTTATCACAMAACTTGCACTGCGACTTACAACACCATGTAAATTTACATCCACATTTGGTTTTGGTTGATCGAGTGGTGGTAGTGAATCCCCTTCCACAACACATTATCATACAGCCATCGATTCCATAAGCGTTCTTCTTGCACAGTCTCCCTCGAGTTCCTGCARTTCCCAGGCTCGGTTCAGCTCGGCAAAAGTTGGGAGAATAATCGGTGTACACGAGGTCTACTSTTGAGGGGCGTTTTTTATCGATGTACCTTTCCAGGGTTCTGTTCGCACGTACACGCCAGGATCCCTCGAATTTCTTTAGAAGATCGTCTGCAACTCTATYGAATGATGGTAGTTTACGCCAGCAGATGATGTGATGAGCACCAAGTCCACCAACAAGTGTCTTGCAGTCCACCTCGATGGCATTTCTTAAGGCCTGRAATTCATTGATAACATTCTCGTTAAAGTTCTTTGTCAACCCAAACTAGTGAATTTACCATTTTATTTTCGTCTTTACTGATTATTTACTAGTATTCAGATGGGCAATGGCGGGTCCAGGGTTACAAAGGGGGGTGTCTAACCGAAGAAAACAGATATTGAATGGAAAACTGGAGACAATGTGTAAAATGTMTTTGGATAAACAGTGATTTAGTTATTTTTTCGTAACGAGTTACGAGTTCCACTCAGATTTACTATTTCTCCTTTTATATATGTCATAATTTATTTTCTTGGGGGTTTTTCTGGTGGTGGGAGGTGGGGAAGAAGGGGGAAGCAGGTCTCGCCAAACTAAACTAATCACTTTCCCTGGATCCGCCCTTGATGACTGACATTTAATCTAGTGGGTGGGCTTTCGCCTCTCGGAAGACCTAATACAATAGGGTTGTTCAAAACAAAAGAATAAGGTCGCAAAGAGAATTATTGTCCTTTTAAGAACGACACAGCCAATTAGAGTTCTAATCGTTTCGAGAGAGATGAAGGCAAATGTTTATGTTCTTGTTGTCTGTCCACAATATTCTCACCTGTCGTCCTGCTTCATTGTTATGTTGAATGARCAGAGAGAGTTCGTCGTGTTTGGGTGGATCCATATAACGTCTTGATACCTCTTCGCCATACTTCAAKAACTCATTAAATGTMMTACATCCTTTCCAGTCCCAGAAATCATCGCMTCTTTGTTTCCTACCAGATTTACAGCCACACATGTCCCAGTTCCCTCGAGTACATTGTTTAGTAACCTTGAATGCWACCGCGGCGGATGTAATGGCATACACGAAGGCACTTTCACGKATTCCTACAAAGACATACAATCGGCAATGTGCATCGACGCCATTTTGTGCAGCAAAGCATGATGGTACTTGTATTYCCCGCACTTTTCATAGCCCCTGAAATATCTCCTTAAAAGCCGTTTTTACATTTTCTTTTAAGAAATGGCACAAATATTTCTATTTTCGCTTTCAAAAAGCAAAAACTGGTTAGGAGGACTGTTTTAACTCTTTCCCGTCCGCCCCTTGAAATTTAGGTCGAATTCGACCTATGCGTCAAAAATCTGTAAGTTGCCGAAATAGTAAGCTAGAGCCCTGGCATGAAATTGCTCGTACGAACTTACTAGTAGATATTGTCGATCTTACAGTTAAAAGAATTTCGCAACGAGGAAAAAAATGACACAAAACAGTACTGTGCTTTGAAATTGATGCCAAAATCTGCGTTTGAAGGACCGCAGGGAACACTGATTTTCATCTCAATTTGTACCGTCAAAATATGTTCTCCTAGCAAAAAGTCCACTTGGTTTACAAACCCCTTTGAAAGAACGTCCTCATTTCGACGTTTTTATTTTGTCAAATCCACTGCAGATTTTTAAACAGCTCTCTTTTGAAGACCCGGTACAACAAACGTCTATGCACGAAGAAGGGAAGACGGAAAATGTGGACATCAATCGTGCAGCATTATTGTGAGCTCCCCCGCACCTACAGGCACAATTATCGCCAAAATTACCTTGGTAGGTTGGAAAATCTACCACAGATGGACCAGGAAAGCTATCTTACAATGGTGTCTCCAGTTCAAAACAAACCGTGACTTGGAGGCATTGTCTTCGAAAAATCGCTTTCCACCTCTGATTTCTGATGCAAACCTAGGGGCTCCTGTGGTAGCAAAAAGCTCAAAAAAACACTTATAAACGACTTATAAACGTTTTTTAAGTAAATTTAGGCTCAACTGGTGATAAACAAACGGTCTGACCTAAATTTAATGTGCGTTGCATAAATTAACTCTCCCTAGGGAATTCAAATCCGAAATAGTTTTATTGACAGCACCTTATATGGAAGTCAATTATTTTTACCAAGATGTTAGGATCGAAAAAGCTCAAAATCGACAATGAGTTAATTCCAAAAATGAGGGTCACGTGACCTGTGATTTTTCACACTATTTGTTAAAATTGCGGTTAGGGCTAACACATACTTAGGGTTAGGACTGTTTTCTTAGGCTTAGGGTTAAGATTTGGCTTAGGGTTAGCCTTGTGCTAGGTCTACATGGGGCTTTGGGATAGATAGGGTTTTGACCTAGTGCTAGTCACTTGACTAGCATTCTCCAGCAAATTCAAACTCCATAGATGAAATCTGCACACAACATTGACCATGCTCATCTACCTCAAGTTCTTTGGCTATGCTTAAACAAGAAGATGACCATCCCCCATATTTTCACTGGTGCGTTTTCTGAAAAAGGCCCTAACGGCTAGGTTTCAAGACAACCAACCCCATATCTCTAGACTGCCTTCATAGTTTTAGCTTAAACTTTGGGAAAGTAATCAAACTTGTTGTACAAACTGTTCAACAAAAGTTTGAAACGAAATAGGCAATTAAATGTGAAAAATTATTTTTTGATTAATGGACATAAAAAAGTGAACTACCATCATCCTTTGCTGCACAAAATGGCGTCGCTGTACATTGCCTATTCACGATATTTCATACTCAGGTTCAACAAAGCATTGAAACGAGGCGTCAAGGTACAGTGAGCATAAAAGAAAAGATCTGTGATCAGTGTACCTTGACGCCTCGGTTCAATGCTTTGTTCGTGGTCACTGAGCCTGCGTGTGGAAAGTCGTGAATTAATGACGGTATAAATGGAACACACACAAAGAGATACACAAACTGGCATGGAAGTCATGACCATATAACTTGTAAATARCAACATGAGAACGTCTGTGATGGAAGTTCAATACTTTTAAAACTAGATGTCTGATGTATACATCTAATACGTTGTCTAGGGGAACGTAGATTGTCGAAGGGATATTGCATGACCGAAAGGAACCATGGTTACGCTGTTTAGATAACCAATATCTCCTGATTTATCTTAAATAGAAGTCCGAAGATTACTTGGAGAAGAACGGTACAACAAAGAACGGAGGAATATGAATGAAGCAAAAACGGAAGCAAAGGACAGACATGGTTGGAGGGGGAGGTTGGAGGCCTTACGCGCCTACTGATGCTAGGAGTCTAGATGATGATGATGATGAATTCTGATCTTGTGGTAAGAAACTAAGCGACTGTCGACTGTTTTGTTGCTTTCGAAAACTTCGCTATTAAACTTATTACCTCTGAATACCAAGTGTTACGGGTAGCCTCCGTCGCAGACAACTCTACTTCGTGGGATTCTTGTGTTAAGACAAAAAAGCTGCCGGAGGGGGAGTGGGCTAGGAAGGAAGGAAAGGCAGCCTCCTCTTATTCGTTGTTCCTAATCTCTCGACACCAGTCCTTCTCGGTCAAGAATATGAACACAGAAAGACCAAGAAAAGAAAAATGTCCGTTTCCGATGGAGTAGCCTGCGAAGGAGGCTAGGTTACGGGAAGCCAATCAGATTGGAGGAATTGCCATGTGTTGGTGAAAGAGTGTTCCCGAGGACGGTACTCCCCTATATTCACTATACGGGGACGTGCCGCCAACCAGGGTATCGTTTTTATCTCTAAAACAGGGTCAGGGTACACCCCAACCAAGTTGCGGGGGAGTACCCCCGGGGAGTGTTCTAACCTTTTTTCATTATTCCCTGGTGTTGAAATACTTTGGTTGTGTTTAGTTCAGAGCAATTCCAGCGTCTGTCTYGAAATYSTSTTTGACAGTGCTTTAAAGCCATTGCGACGGCTTCTTCCACRATGCCTTTAAGTTTGTAGAAATGGCATAGCTTTAACTCGTCTTTGGTAAACCATTTATGGATTCCTGCTGTGCAGTTTTGCTCTGCGTCTTTKCTCATTCCTGATTCATAGACGTTTGACAGGCTGCCATTGCTACAGACAAGAAAGAGTCACTCTTGGTAATATCATTACAGAGTAGAATAKAACCATTTATAAAGAGTAAAGCTAAAGAAAAAATAAAGCTAAAAAAATTGCCTTTCAATAGCACGCTACTGCTATTTTGTATATACTACTTGATAAACAACTCTGCATGGAAGACAAGTATCCTTACCGATATTCTCGTCGTGATTCCGTGAAGACGACAAGGAACAATAACATCACAGTTCCGTACAACAGTCGCATTCTGCTAGCGTGTTAGAATATATCT